TTGCATTGGCAATAAGAATCTGCTCGTTCTCGTGTTTGAGGCATGCATTTAATTAAACGCCTTCGTTTCTCTGATACTGCGCAATTTTCACAATGTTTCGTTTCAAAATAATATGCAGTAGTTGTCTTTATTATGTTCTTGCAGTGGAGAAATTTACTTATATTTTGTTTATGTCGTTGATATTTAGGCCTGGACAGTTTGGAGCTGAAGTGGAGAGGGTGCTTGGTGGTGGTCTGGTGCCAGGTATGTGTTTTTCTATTTTATGTGTGATGTATGACTTTTTTGAGCAGTGTGGTTTATGGAATCAACTAGCTACTGAATAACATATTAATAAGTCGAGCATATTTTTTCTATGTGGAAGCACTTCCTGCATGGCTTTAATTGGATCGAGGAACTTTATTATTGGCTTTTATCATGTTTAAAATTCATCAGTCCCAGCTTGATGCAGAAATAATCAGGCTTAGATGCAATTTGAGCATCTAAAATGTTTGAGCTCAGTTCATTATGCTAACAAGTAGGAATAACGTACAAATTGAGCCAAATTCTAGAGTTTAGCCTAGATTCGGCTCATTAGTGGCTTATTTTATTTCTGCTTGACAACAAAGGAGCCAAGCTTGCATGTATTGAGGCCCCAGTTAATAAAAAGTCAGATCAAGCTGGCTCATTTAGAAATATAATTGACTGATATAGTTGTCCAAATCAACATATGAACCACCAATGAGAAGAATGTACAAAAACTAATTTGAGAACTTTGCAAGACCAGGAAAAGCTAATGAAAAACTTCTACACAGATAAGCAGGAATGCTCTAATTGCTAGCACAGCATTTTTCATATTTATTGTATAGCACTTGGATCGGCAATGCTCGTTCACAGTGATCTCTCACATGCTACAATGAAATAATTTTTTTGTATCTGTTCTGCTTTCTTTCCTCGTATTTATTCAACTCTTAATTTTCCATGTCTTGGTGCATTTTTCCAATGTAGGTTCTCTAGTATTGGTTGGTGGTGATCCAGGTGTTGGCAAAAGTACATTATTGTTGCAGGTATTAAATTTGTTCTTTAGTGATTTATGCTCTGAGCACGTATATGACAATATGAATTTGCCTTTTTCTTTCTGAACTGAAGATTGCAGCATTAATATCAGAAGGAAATGATACGGAGGATTCAGCTCGAGTCATATATGTATCAGGTGAAGAGGTCAGTGCTCCTATGTGGGCTCAAAGTGTACACTCCACTTCATATCTTTTGGCAAATGGAAACTTTTTGTTTGTAATGGTCTTTGCAAAATGAATGTTGGACTGCTTCAAGGGCAGCCCAACATTCTTTTAATGGAGATATTCGAAAATGAACTCTGTTTCTTTGTTATGTGAACTATCTTCATCGACGAGATTCTTTTTCCTTTACTGGTATTGAATACCTTGAAATTTTGACAGTGACAATTCATTTTCTGTGAATCTTATTTCAAATGCTTCTAAAAAGCAGGTCAACCCTTTTCTTTTACATAATCCCATATTTATGTTTGGGTGAAACAATAATTCTTTCTCAGATTATTTGTTATCAAATATTGTATTTGTTTTGTTGTGTTACAATCTTATTGTATCATCAACTTATTTCATCAGGCTGCAGCTGAGGACCTAAACTTCTAGTTTTAGATTTTTACCTAATTTGACTTTATTCTGACCTCCTTTCATGGCAGAGCGTTGAGCAAATTGGAAATAGAGCTGATCGTCTGAGAATTGTAGCAGAGGACCTTTTCTTATATTCGAGTACAGACATCGAGGTGCATCTTCTTATCATGTTCTTCTGCCTTCTTTAATTATCTCAAAGTGCCACATTAATTGGTCATGTCTAAATGGTTGTTATCTAGATAATGTGCTTGTATTGTTGTCGACTATGAAGGGATGCTTGAATCAATTTTCATTTTGGCTCACTTGCTATTATTCATGGTTAGTGCTTTTATTGGAATTGGAGTTCTTGAAATGAGAAAAAAGTCTAACCAACTCAAAAATTTGTAGAGAATAATTTTATTGTAATGAACTGGTT